TAACATCATCGACACCTGTACTTTCTTCTTCTTCAGTTTATGTAGAGCACATGCCTCCATAAAAACCATGTTTTTCTACACGTAGTCTATTTATTTCTTGCCAATTAGTAATACTATTATTTCAACAGTTAAAAGTCCGCTTTTTGGTCAGTCCCTTACGTTTTGAAATAATTATGGCTCCGCAACGAAATAGCGTAACAGTCTGGGCAATGTCTTATTGTGCAGAGTAAACTGTCTTATTTGGCATGACAATCAAACGATCTCTTAGAGACAGACGCCACTATAAATAGAGATAAGTTACTAAAAATCAGGTAAAAAGTGACTTTTGGGTCACTCACTTACTGAGTTATAACTTTTCAAACAAATGCTCATGAGGGTTTGTTTGATTTTCATATCAGAGAAGACGGTTACCCAGGCTGTTACGTTATTTCGTTGCGGAGCTGTAGTTATTTCCATAGGATGAGAAAGTCCACATCGCTGCGACTTCTCGTTTCCAGTGGAAAAAGTGGTATGAATGAGAAGTCGCCGCGAGTTAGTATCTGTGCGTCTGCCAGTATGCGCAGAATATCGAGTTCATGAGAAACTCCGCGTCGTTGCGACTTTCCGTTTGACCAAAACAACTACTTCGCTCCATTTATTATTAAATTCATGAGTATCTGTACAGGTGACTCACTCTCACATCGTGCACTCCCCCCGACTGACTGATACTAACTCGGGGCGACTTCTCATTCATACCACTTTTTCCACTAGAAACGAGAAGTCGCAGCGATGTGGACTTTTCCATCCTATGTTTCCAGTCAGAGTGAGAATAATATTTCCGGTCAATACCAAATCTTACGCTTGACAAACAAGTTGCTTGCCGAGATTATTAACAGTTTTAGTTTGTGACAAAATATTATTGTTCGTCAAGTTTTTCATTCAAACAGTTTAGATCAAAAACCTACTGGTCCGGCCTCCACTTTTCTCGCGATTATTTCAGTTACAGTACGATAGATCTTTTGGATTATAAATCATTCTTTGGCCTTTCTTTGCAATACAGGTATCCAGAAGAAAAATGGCAGTACTCGATTCAACAAACTTTACACTGTCCGATTTCTAAAGACTGTCGCGTTTTCTCAGAAAGATAGTTTTTGATGTATCACATCGAAAATATTAAAAAAAATGTAATTTAACATAAGGTGCCGGAAATTCGAAAGGGGTACATAAAAATAGATTTCCTTCAACATACGTGGTTGTTTAGAGCTCGTCGAGCTGATTCCGAATATCGCCTTTTTGTCGAGTTTTGGGGAGAAATCTTTAAAATACCGCAAGAGTCAGAAAAAGTGAGCGTTATAGAGAAAAATCAAGATTTGACCGTTTTCCGTTCACTCTAGTTTTTCGAAACTATTTTACTCGGGTTCAGCATCAAAAAGTGAGTATATCCGTGTAGGTTCGGCACTGGTTCATCGTTCTGATGTCTGCGAGCAGGACGGACTAAGTTCGTCCATGGATGTTTTGACACTCTGTTGTCCCAAACCTATGTAGTCTTTTGTTTAAAGAGCTATCCCCAACTATCGTACATCATTCGAATCGTCATCTGACAGTGAACAAAAGTACATATGGATTTAAGAAACTTTCATTTCCCCGCTGAGACATCATCAGTGTAGCAAAGGGCAAAAAAGTCGAAATTCTGTCCGTACTTTTCAATTTTCACCATCAGAACACACTTTTATGCAATAAAAATAACATAGTCGGAGTCAGCGTCGAAAACTGAGTCGAATGGAATACCTTTTCATCCAATCTGACCACCTTTGTTTTTTTCGAATTTTCACGTCGAAAATTACTGAGATTTTCACCAAAAAATGAAAATCAACGAAAATTTTCGAAACATATACCATTCGACCCAGTTTTCGACGCTGACTCCGAATATGGTATTTTTGTTGGGGAATGATGTATGATATATGACAGTTGGGGATAGCTCTTTAAACAAAAGACTACATAGGTTTGGGACAATGTACCCCTTTCGAATTTCCGGCACCTTACCATAAATATCCAAATTAGTCTGCCTTCTACGATAAAATTTTAGTTTGTACTATTACATCTGTTTAATATTCTAATTGCTATGCAATACATGGGCATTCACCAGCGACGTTTTTTCTTCCTTGTAAATTAATGTATTTTATGAAAAACACGAAAGAACATGGCATTATTTAAGAAGAATTGGAAAATAATCACAATATACGCCTTCCAAAATCTCTGTCCATATTTCCTTCAAATAAAACTAATGTGTTGACCGTGTTCAACGTCAACTGTCGATCGTGTGTTAATTGGTTATCTAATGAACAATCTGCAGTCATACCAAGTGGTTTTAAATTAACAAAGTTCTTTTTGATTAGTTTAAACAATTCAACTGAATACTGTCGATGATTAATATCACGCAAAAGTAGAAATCGAACATTTACCCAATCATAACACATCGTTTGTGTCAAATAATTTTGTTTATAATTCAAAAATGTGTCCGGTATATGTATAAGAATTTCATATTTAAATGGTAAACTGAACACATGACAACAATAATATAGACCATTTCGAATCGCATTTATGAAACAGCCAATCTTCCGTCCTGTTCGGAGCCAGTACGCAGACTGAAATGTTTTTATAATATTGTCAGTTGTCGGATTTGAAAATATAAAATTCGACGATGTAACAGAGATAAAATAAAATCGAAAATCAACCAAGTTTTCGAGTTTTGACAAGAAACTATGATTCTCTAAAAAATGAAAATTTATGTTTGTGATGAATAAACAACCAGTCGGCTTAACTCGCTCTTTCTTTCTGTATCTGTCTGATATGACGATTGTCATTAAATATATAGGGGAATTAGATTTCAAATGTCTTTTTCCGCTTGCATTAATTATGATGGTTTTAGAAATCTCATTTGATGAATTTCCAATAAGTTTCCTATAGTACAAAAGCCCATCAAGAAAACAAAATCCACTTTTCCATTAATCAATAGATTCATGTCCATCATATATACGCCGAGGTATGTGGGTGACAAAACATCCTATCTATGGCCTGACTGGAGACTAGAATAACTTCTGACCTGCCCAACTCTGATTACATATCTATAGTCTCGCAAACCTCTACAGACGGCTTCAAAAATAATAAATTCTGCCAGAATCATTCTATTCAAATATTCTATTCACTCTACTAGTCTATTGTAGAAAACATAAAGTGTGCCATCCAGAGTTGTAGACCACTAGCCTAGTGCTCAGAAACTCCAGAATTCTCAAAAGTAGTCATTTTAAGACTAAGACTAATTACGTTTCACCGTTTCCGCAAACTCATATTTAAATATATAGTTACATCACTGACCTGCAGTCCCTGGATAAACTGTTTGGAGGTGATTCTTATCATTACATAACACATACCTTGTACGTCTCTGCTGAATGTAAGACTTTCAGAACGTTCTTTTCTTTTCCACTTCAAAATCGTGGTGTATCATTGAAAATGATGCGACGTTCCCTTGTACCACTAGTAGTTGTAGACCACTAGCCTAGTGCTCATAAACATCAGAATTCTCAAAGGTAGTCATTTTAAGACTAAGACTAATTAAGTTTCACCGTTTCTGCAAAATCATATTTATCATCCGGTGTCACCGTTGACTTCGAAGTACTGCGTGTGCTAATAGCATGTTGCAGAGATGAGTGGCAACCCACCGTCAATGAACCGATTTGGGTTCTTCATATTAACCAGATCTGTGCGGTAGCAAGCGAACTTTCCTCGTTCCATTCAGACTAGTGCTAAAGAAAGCCAAACCGTATCGCACATCCGAGTACAAGCATCAACTGCATACTCAACAATATTACACTGTCGTAATAACCAGTGACTGATACTTAATCGACCGCGGACACATGCATAAGGACAAATCCATCTTCTTCTAACAACACTCATTTCCAGTACGACAATCGCTAGAAATTCTTATATTTTAGTAACATATTCTGAACAGTAACAGACAGAAGCATCGCGAGTGCCCCGCAGCCATATTTTAAAGATCCTACATTATCTCGTGTCAGATATTGTTAACTTTCTATATATTTTCTTGCTACAAGATCATATGAAATCTTGTCATAAGATCCATGACTGAAATCTACTACATAAGTTTTTTGGCGATATACAGTATACATAATACCGACATCGCAACTTGTGCGCAGCACAATTGCATTCTAGTTTTTAATTTTTCTTCTCGATCATATCTAGAACAAACCTGAAAAAAGATTTGAATAGCTGAAAGAATTTCGAATCTGACGTGCCGCATACAAGAACTCCATCGAAGTTTCTGAAGCTGGGATCTCTAGGAAAACCAAAATCGAAAAAAATTAAGTCCCTGGATTCGGTCACTACGTTTTTTGAAAACGGTTCTATCTGTTAAAGTAAACATTTCTGAATAAAATGACCCTCTACGATATTTTTTTATGACACAGTATTCAATTTACGAAAGGTCTTGAGAGCGTATCTTTCGTGTTTTTCCGTTAATTCTGCTGATTTAAGTGATGTAGATTGAACTGTTTTGGTAAAATATTTTTGATATTATTCGCTGTATTTCATATTTATATATCCAAATCAAGATACTTTTTACGATAAAGAACTCGAAGAAATGGCGCATTTTATATTTAAGCAATTGATAGATCACTGTTTACATGGAATCATCTTCTTCGATCTGTGTATCTATACTGTTCCTGATTATCAACAATCTTGAACGACAATGTTTAGCAAAATACAACAGTGCAGTAAATTACTTGCAATTCTTTATAGATCGATCTTCAGTAGATAAAATCTCGATCGAGAAAGGTGATCAAGATGATTGGATAGATACAGTCACTAATAATTCTCCACGATCCGTACTTGAACGCTTCCAGCAATCATCTACCACTCCTCTGCCGTATTATCAAATTAATCCAACAGAAAAGCCCCCATCAAATACTAAGCATAGATCTACAAAAGAAAACAATCTTATTGATATGACTATACTCGTAAAGCATGAAACAACTTTATCATCTGTATTACTTAAAAAATTAATGAATGTAGAAGTAGATACCGTTTCTCTTACAGAGATAATTAGGGATGACGGCTTTGGTTCATGGACACAGTGGAGTAGTTGTAGTGAAACGTGTGGAATGGGTATTCACAAGCGAACAAGATCATGTTTAAAACACCGGTCTGATACTGATTTTCAACAATCAATTTGTAACGGTTTCTCAAATGAAATCGAAACATGCGAACTACAGACATGTGTTGATGATCAAGAATTTCTCGATGATTTATTACAACTCGAACGTGTCATTGATGAAAATTCCTTTTTACCATAGAAATACTATTTAGCAGAGAAAATTTCCTTCACACCGAATCTTATGACTGTGCACGAAAAGTAATCACCCTGCAATCAGCAATGATTCGTATCACTCTACATACAACTGCTATTCATATCTTTCGTTTTCTGTAATAATTGATCGAAAAAATAAAGATAACAAGAAAAATAAATAAATATATATGAATAAAAACAAAGGATAAAGTTATTACTATTAAAAATATACATTTATTTGAACAAGAGAAAGTACAAATATCAAAAATAACTGACTAAACGCTAAAATGTTGTCTACCTTCCAAAACGAACATGCTGATAAGCACAACAAATGACTTATATACATATGATAATGATCTGATGAGAAACAAAACTATTTATAACTTATATGGATTTCTAAGAGATTGATTATTCCAGATTAACAATTTATCATATTAAAAACCTCAATAGGGCTTCTTAAACATTATTATTTAAGTTCATTATATCACAATAAGTTTATTATTATAGGAAGAGAAAAATTCTGAAAAAAAGATTATAATCGCCCACAGAATAAGAAACAAAAATTTCGTTCGAAATAAAAATTTATCCATCATTTACTTTTTCAAATTAATGTGTTATGAAAATTATCTTATTTTTCTACTACTGATCATAAGACTTTACCGTCGTTTGATTGAGAGAGTAATTCTGTTTTTTCATGATATTGTTCTTTTTCTTGTGCTGTTATTGTTGTTATTTTGTCTGTCATCGAATTACCGTTGTCAGTGTGTTTAATGAGACTACTCCTACTTTGTACAAATTCTAATGGTGTATTATTCGATGTTACTAAATTAATTTTTGTACTACTATGATTTGTTGAGTGTTGAATTGAATTATTCATCTTAACTGGTTCAGTTTGATCTACTTGTTCAAATGTATTCAAAATATCCAATAATTGTTCGATAGCTGGTCGTAACTCAAGTGTTTCAGAGAAAATAGCATCTTTTCTATCATAACTAGCTAAACGTTTGTCTTTAGCATTTAATAACGATTGTAAATTTTCACAATGAAGTTCTAAAAATCCTAAATTTTTATACAACTCCAGATAATCTTGATCTTTCTTTATTAATGCATCTGCTTGACGTTTTATTGTGTGCTGTTGTGTTTCAAGTATTTTTTGTAGCTCCTGATTTCGTGAATGCAAAAGTTGTAAATGTATGTTGGCTTCACGTATCGTTGTACGAGTCAACAGATTAGAGAGACCATTGTTAGGATAATTATTATTATTATCGTCTGATAAGTCATTTCCATTCATTCTGCGACACAATTATATTCTCTATTTTTCAATCTGTAATAGGAAAATATACGCCAAGTTCAATACTACAGCTTAGTGTAACAATATATCAGCGTAATTATCGAAGAAAAGCGCTGCTGCTAGACGAAGAGCAAAATAAAGCAAGCAAATTAACATCACGGAAATATCAGGATATACTCTCAGTAAAATTGGTCATGAGAAATTAGAAAACAGGAAATTATATCGTAATTGGTCACATTCACGATATGAAGGGGCCGCTACGTCTAATCGTCATATACGAGCGCATATGCACCATCATATACATTATTTCTATACGGCCATTTATAAGCGTTTTGACGGCCACAGATAGATCTCTCTTCAGCTTGTGAATATGGCTCACTGCTAAATGGGAAAAAATCACAACTTTCTTCGTTTTCTTGTTCCCGGATAAACTGGGGATCCTTCCACCCAATGGTTTTATAGTTCAACTAGATAAACCGAAGCAAACTTCTCTTGACAGAACCTTGCGCTCTTGACCTTGACTGACATAATAAGAGAGTTGCAGTCTATCTGCCGACCATAAAACAAAATGGAAGATAGGATGAATTAGGGGAAGTTCACGTACTTTTCACAGAAATTGTATTTTATCATAACTAAGTTATAGTAAAAATCCTAGTTCATTGGGACAAGCTGTTTTAGTTCGGACAAACACTAACTACCTATTCACTACGTTATAATTGATTTATTGAATTTGACCATTCTGGAAG